GTATCCTATATCTTTAATTATTAACATTCATAATCAAGAAGCTTTTTCTTCCTCAATTGCAAAATACACTGCCTGAAGTCAGAGTACACTCAGCACAGCAAATCTGAGCCTGAAGTGACGACTCCAATTGCTGCATTATGTACTTCCAGGAACAAGGCAAACTGTATCAGTGACTTACGGGAGGAAGACATTCTCATTTTTTGGCAGTAGAAATACCCTTGGTGTTACAGTCCCTCGGACAAAACAGCAGCTGCACAAAGTCTGCGGGCTAAGAAATGCCTCACACTTTGGTCAAAACAGAGCATGAAGGACAAATGAGAGCTGTGGACTCAGTAAGAGCAGAGCTCACAATGGAAGAATGTTGCACAAACCATTACACTGCTCTCTCCCGCAGCAAAGACTTCAGACAGATGCTTTGGTTATAAAACGTGCACAAAAAAACTTCAGCTAAAGGAAAATATACATGTGTTAGCAACTAAACTAAATAAATGTTTGCATGGTGTCTGCAAGACAGATAACCCTAGGGAGGAAGCACCATAAAGCCCTACAGAGGCACTTCAAATCAAAAAGGGATCTCTGTTTGAAGTGGAGCTGAAATTTGCTAGGAATCACATATTATCAATTCTAGGCACACAAACCTTACCTTCCCAGAAGGCTGTGACAGCTTTGTAAAGTAGAAAAAAGTAAAATTTTTGTGAAGGAAAAAAAGCCTCCGAAAATTCTGTATTCTAGATGCTTCAAATTTTAAGTTATAAAAATCTTGGAAAAGTCAGATTTTAAAGGCAGTTGGATAAATGGCTGCTTATTTTTGCAAAAGGTCCACTACTGAAATCAGAGGAGAAAAACAGCCCCCAAGATTTTAGCACATTAAGTGTAGGGAAAGACTAGAAAGAGCTCTTCAGCCTCCAAAGAATTCCCAAGCACACAATCCCTGAAGTGCACCCACAACAAACACTTGAGAAAGAGTAGAAAGAGTGATAACCACCATGAAACAAGTCAAGGAACAAACATTTGCCAAGGGAAGAGCAGCTATTATCCAAACACAGCCAAAAGTTTAAGGGTGGAAACTGAGGGAAAATAACTAAAGGGAAACAACTAAACACCCCTAATGCAAGTGCAACAGGCTCTGTTCCCTGATTCATTCACACCCAGATAACCCCATATTTCAGCTCTACATTGTACAGTGCACAACTTCATCATCACCTCTTCACATTTAACTCTGCTTGTCATACTCTTTTAAATGCACAGGGGCCCTTATTCCCACTCACCTTCTTGTCTTCCACCTGCTTCATTCTCCAGAAGCATCACTGGGGTGATTTCTCTATAAGGACTGGTGTAGCTGACTGCATGTTGCTGTGTTTTTGTTACTAAGGAGCTTCTTTTCTTCTCCATTCCTTCTCATTCTTGGCTTGGTTTTTTCTTTTTTTTCTCCCAGCAGGAGTGGGCACATTAAGCCAGTTCAGTTAAATTGATATGATTCTTACTCCTATAGTACCCATATGCTGTATTGATATGCACTGATGCCTAGGACATTTATTCAGTCTTACCATAATAAATGCTCTATTAAAAAAAAAAATAAAAAAAAAGGCAGCTGTAATGTCAAAACTGTGATCTTAGTATAAAATCCTATTTGCAACACGCACAGTGACCTGTAAATCTGATGACAGTTGTTTAAAGGAAAGTAAATTTTGGGAAAAAGAAACACTTTCTGATAATTTTATACCTATTAAATCTGTGAGAAACACCTAAGACCCCTGCAGCTTAAAGCTGGGAAAGAAAAAAAAATTCTTTATTGATTCTTCCTTTCTTCACTTACTTAATATGTACATTTCAAAGTCTTTTTTTTTTTTTAAAGACAGTTTTATTACTTGCCCAGAATATTTAGCTAGAGATTTTGCTCTTGGGAGAAAACATTCATAAGCATCAGTGAGATAATTTTATATATGGTTAAAAACATTACATCTAAAAGCTACTCCAGCAAAAGTATATGCTAAGAAATATCAATTCAAAGTAATAGACGTTAACAAAAATAATAAACCAGCAAAGAAAATAAAACTTCTTTTAAAATCTTTGGATCATTGGATCCTGGAGCAATCTGGCCAGTCGAGTCTGGGTGCTCATGTAAATTAGCACCCAACTGTGTGATGAGCCCTCTGTGAGCACTGAGTCCAACTGTAAACCTAACACTGTCAGGCCCACCACTGAACCATGTCCCCAGGTGCCCTATTTAAGCTCCTCCAGGGGTGGTGACTCCACCACTTCCCTGGACAGCCCGTTTGAGTGCTTGACAACCCTTTCTGTGAAGAGATTTTTCCTAATGTTCAATCTAAACTTTGAATTTTCTCCAAAGCTCCCTCACGCCAGTGGCTGCCAAGTGCTTAGGCTTTAAGGCCAAGAGTAGGGAGTCTGAATGTTTAATGTGGTCTTACACATAATATAACCCAGAAATATTTAATGAGACTCCCTGGAAGTCAGTAATGTGCTGCCCTTCAAAATGGATATATTCCTAAGGACTTCTAGTCATAAAGACCCACTCTGTTCTTAGGTAAGATTTTTTTTAGGGTTATGCTACTTCCAAAAATGTATTAGCTTAATGTTAGCTTCCATCCACTGATTTATACAGTTCCACTTTTGCCTATTAGTTTAAAAAGCCTCCTGCAACCATAAATCTCCCGCCGCAGTATTTATACAGTTCCGATAAGTATCCTCTTAACCTTATTTTAACTAGACCGAGCCTCTCATTAAAAACCAATGTTTTACAGACACCCAGTCCTTTTTGCAGAACTTTCCTGAACACTTCACAAATTTCTATAATCCTTTTTTTTCAAAAAAACGTGTTAGCATCAGAGAGGGGCTGAATGTCTAAAGCAGTTGTGTCATCAGCAGGGTGCATGAGAACAACAATCCTTCCCCCACAGGTACAGCCAAGGGCCACACATTCAGTCACACAAAGCTGAAGCTCACACGTGGCTGGCTTCCAGCCTGACACCCAAGTCCCTTCAACATCATGGCACTCTAAGACTGAATCCTCCCACCCTGCAGATGCAAGCAATTTTCTTTGTTCCTAAATGCATGACCATTGATTTGGCTGCATTAGAATGCATGGGAGACTACACCAACGACAATGGGCTTTGAATCGGACTTCAAAAGAAAATATGCTGTGAAAAATGGGGCTTTTCAAGGACCAGAAGACAGGCATGTTAGGAGCTCATTCCAACAGAGTTCTGCAGCAGGAAATACTTATGGATGTCGAAATGATAGCCAAATGGCAGTCTGCACCAAGACTGAACCCATGAAAGAAGCATGGAACAGTGAGCTGACACCCACGTGTTGATAAGGAGTATCTGCACCTGTTAGCACAGCCCTTTGGAGGGCTTTCAGTTCTGGCAATGTTCGTGCAGAAAGTACATCTTATCTATTTTAATCAATGAAATAAGCTAATGAAAGACAAAAAAACCAACACAAAAACCTGACAGACACTACGGAGAGGGTGCAGAAGAACAGAGCTGATCTACGCTGCTGAATGGGAAGATTCCATCCCACTACAAAGCAGCAACACACAGATAGAGTTTTACAGGAAAAAAAAAAAAAAAATGGAAAATTGTTTTTCTTGATACACGAAACAAGTTCTAAGATGCAGAGTTGTGGGCATTTTGCAATTGTTCCAGAGAATGTTACTATTCTCGCCTCATGTGAGCAGACAAGCAGCAAATCCACGGCCTGACCACCTCACTCCACGCTGCAGAAACTCCTGCTGTTCCTACCTTCTAGGTTGCTCTCCCTCTTCCACCTCCTGGTTTGTCACTAGCTGAAGACATTCTCTCGCCTCTCCCAAGATCAGGCTCCTCCCTTTCTCTGAACGTCTCTGCATCTGTCAGAGCAGAGACACCAAACAAGACGAACCTGAAGCCTTCTCCGCCTTGGCAATTCTTGAATTCCTATCCTGTTTGCCAGCAAGCAAGTAAACTTCAGCTTTTTAAATAGCAATAAATTCTTCACTTCTCCATGTCCTCTAAAATACCATGTACATTCACATCTCTCTCAAAGCAGTAATTGTGCAAGCTAGTAATTCTTAATAATTACAATGAAGATGCCTAGACTATTCCTGGCGACCAAAATTGAACTCCTTATAGAGATGCAAATATATTATTTTTAGAGATGCAGAGCCACATTTTATCTCACAGCCTAATGGTTCCTCCTTAGAGGGTTGCAAATTCTCTTGTGCACTGTGATTTTGTCCTGCTAATGCGGCACTTACAAAAAGTGGTTACCAATATAACAGTATCTGAAAAGCTTCACAAAGAGAGGAAAGGGGAAACTATTCTTTCAGGTACAGTATTTTTTTCTCCACTAAAGTGAGCTTCTTTTCTCTGAAGAACTGGTGTTTTTCAACGAAAACAGTAGGGATGGGGCTGAAAGGAGGGAGATATTGCCATGAGCAGATTCCAGGGTGCAAGCAGGAAATACTGAGGCTAATCAACCACTCTTATTCCTCATAGCATGCAAAAATTGCCTCACATATTTCCATGGTCAATGATAGAAGTTAACACTTCACTCCAAAGTACATTTTGTGGTTAATCCATTTTTCCTGGAAACAACATATTTTCTGTTCAACCTCTTTTACTACCATTATAAATCTGTTCTTCTCAATACCAAATTTGCAGACAGGCTTTTACACACAACCCAAGCCCATTCTTTTAAAAATGGCAAAATATTCCTCCATTCTAATCAATATAAATGCTATGGGCACAAGGTCTTTGGGGAACAACAACCAAAGGAAACTCCTCTCCAGAGGTGCAACAGGTGGCTTCACCAGCTCTTCCAAAGCCTTCAGGCTCCCATCAAGTTTTAGTGGCCACGTAGTGTCTTCTGACACTACATTCCCTGCCTGGTAGGACAGGAGGAGCAAACATCCAGACCTGAGGATGCTCTTTAATGACAGCATTGTTCATGCACCTGACAGTCTTATCATTCGAGTTAGGTTGGGGAGTTTCCATGGAAACAAAACATGACACTAAGAAATAAAGCAGAAAACAGATTTGGAAAGAGGGTCCCATGCTGTAGCCCACTGACAGTCTGGAGGGACTCCAGCGCTTGTCACGGCAATGAGGGAGGAAAATAAGGGATAAAATAATTCCTTATGAAATGGTATCATCCTGTCACATTTCAGAGCTACTTGGTTGGTGACGAGTAGTTTGGGCAAAAGGAGCACAACACAACCTGTACCACTGCAAAAGCAGCAGCTCCAGACACGCAATGGGCAGCGAAGGCAGCGCCGCTCGAAGCTCGGCCACGATCGGTGGGGATTCACAGCCCTTCTCTGTGCCCAGCACCTTGGAAACAGATTCAGATGCTGGTAGTTCCAGCTTCCCCTGTCCAGTGCAGTGAATGAGCCATGATCTCACGTGCCCTACTGACAGTCTAATGGCAAAATTGGGCTTGTTCAGGCTGCATGTCCCAGACCAGAGGGTACTGTAACTCTTGGTATGGAACAATTGGCCTTTTCTCACTGGCCTCCATTCCAAGGTATAAGTGCAAGGCAACTGGTAATCACCATCAGCCACTGCCATCATCTGCTCTTTCGCCACAGAGCCAGAATTTTCATTTGACCCAAATACTCCACCCAGAGAGAGTAAAAGGTTCACTGAAATCCAGCAGTTAAGAGCAAAATGTTGAAATCTCACTGTCATCATTACAGCCAAAAGCAAGTGAAGAACCATCATCTTTCTTTTCAAATACACCCACCACCTAAAAACTATTTCCAGAAGGAGCTGCACATTGTTAGGACTAACCTCATTGCAGTCTGGATAGAAAAATGGAAACTTCAGCCCATTTTTTGCTAGAAACCCTATGTGTGAGGCACAGGGAACACTGAGCTGGTGCCGGTGAAACTGCATCTCCCCCGGCCTTAAGCAATGTCAGGCTGGGACAGAGTTGTACAGCCTCCTTCTGCTCCCCAGCTCGCTTAACACAGACATCACACTGGCAGGGTGCAACTCTGTGCTGCACTGCCGGTCCTGAGCTAGCTGCAAAAAAAGCTATTTTCAAACCAGCGCAGCCCACGGTTGCCTGGGGATTGGAGCTTGACTCCTGAAAGCTGCATAACCAGGGAGTTCTTCAGCCTCCTGCATCCCGAACAAACACGGGGCACAGTCTGACCCTTATCCAGATACCAACACAGAACACAAGAAGTCAGCATGAGATTTTTCTTCGAAGCCTGATAAAGAACAGTAAGTTTAAATAGGGAGGGAGTAAAAGGTCCTGAGTCTGGACTCATTCCACCTGCAATAAAACTCTCACTTGAATGGTTGTATGTGCTGGTTTTTTGCATTTATCTGACAAGTTACTGCTCTTTGTGCAACAAATTCTTATTCAAAAATAACATTGTTAAGAGTTTTTCACAAATACCTGTGCAAGACATTACACTCTTATTTTTTGAGCTCTTTCTAACTTCTTACTCTGTTCGTAGAGACACATGAGCACAGCTCAAATGTGACAAATCTAGAGGAGGAAGGTTCTTGCAGAAAAAGGTTGGATTGCTATCCAGGAAACTCACAGTCATTTCTCAGCTCTGCTGAGATGCTCATCCTGAATATATCACGCCTCAGTGCTTTGCATGCCTCAGTTCTCCAGTGGCAAAAGGAGATCAAAGACAGCCAATGTTGCCAGCAGACCTCCATAAAGCATGTCAAGAGTACAGCCCTCCAGGAATAGCACTCATTGTACTCACCCTCAGTCTTTCTTACCCTCTTTGATTCTGAAACCTTCTCTCTGGGTATGGTATTTAGAACAGCAAGGGATGGCACAGCGTGTGTGACGTATAAAACAGAATAAAAACAATGAAGTCAAAGACATACTTCAGAAGGAAAAAAAAAAAATCACATCCCATTAGGTTTCTTCGTGACTATCAGTGAACACATCCTACAATAACCACTTGATTTTCAGTTCCAGTTTAACACCCACTTTCACTTGTGCTAATGCTACGTGAAACCTCACGTATCCCAGACTAGGTTTCCTCCACATCTCCCCACCTGGACCATCAGCTTCCCATCTTTGGCCCAGCCAGCACTGACAGTCACATGCTGGGGATGATTTACACTGTTCACATCAGGTTCTGTACGTCCTCCTCTCCCTTTCAGGGAATGCAACAGCTGTGATGAGGGCAAAGAGGACCATTCCCTGTTTGGGAGCACCACACACAGGGTGCTCAAATCCAAGAACCTGACATTTCTGTGACGTCAAGAGCCAGCACTGAGCATGTCCCTGAGCATCCTATAGTAGCTCACAATGTAGTACACCCAGATTAGAGTTGAACAACAAGTACCACATCCCTGTTTAAGAGACGCATGAATTATTGATGATGTTCAGGAGCCCTATTAAACTGTCTAGTGGGCCAGCAAGAACATTCAGTAGTTCAAATGCATCAAAATGAATAATAAAGCTTTCTATTTTGAAGTTTGGCCGTTAGAGAAAAGAACCCTGGCAAATATATAATTTTGTGTAATTTCACTTGGATGCTCACTGTAATAGCCGTAGTATTTATGACACCATGACTCATACCCATACACTCCTCAGATAGCAAAGACACCATTATCCACACTATTTAAAATCAGAGTCCTTATGCAGGAAAACATTCTACTAAAGGCAAGGCCTGCTTATTTGCCTTAAACTATAGGCTTAGTCTATAAATATGTACTATTTCTGTACGTACATCTGTGTCAGCCATGAAATGTGTGCAAAGAAGTGTTGTAAAAGAAGAGTTGTAAACATTATGGGAAACACCTTCTAGTAATCCTTTAGATCCTGCCTATAAAGTTGAGAATCCAATCAAACTGCCTTCTTATTCTTCAAACCAACCCTTGTCGTGCAATAATTAAATCATAAAATAAAGCCTCTCATTAAAAAATAGACCATTGCACTATCTCAGAACATTTCACTTCTCAGTCTCATTCTGGCAGCACTTGTGTGTTTCACTGGGTGCAATTAGAAAAGAAAGTTATCATCTTTATTTCAAATGAAGACCAGGGAGAAAGCTGCTTTGAGGGACATTTTCAGTAAATTTGGGACAAAAGAGAGAGTTCTCCATTCAGTTCTGGCAGACATTCAGCTGCAAACTTGAGAAGTTCCTGCACTGAGGGTCAGCACCTCTCTTTCCTTCCTCCTCTTCGCATAAGGCGTAGGTGACTGTGGCTCCTGAGGATGTAACCCCTTGCTGATTGCCAACACAGTTTTCACAGCTTCCAGGGACCTTTCTGGGTAAGACACTGCACACAGCTTCTAGGATTTCACACATTTATTCAGTGCTGTTAATAATCACTCAGTGTGAACCTGAGCAGTAAAATATTTATTCTGAAAGACTCAATGCCTTGTTTCAAGGAACCCTTCAGCAGTCTGGGACTCAAAGTCCACCCTGACCACTGCAATCACAGTGAAACAGTGATCAGTATTTGGAGAGATTCTGTTGCATGGTACTCAAAGACATTTAACAGGATGTGGCTGCTACGTAAATGTTATGTAGCTTTTATTTGCTAAATCCACATAAAACGTCCCTTTTTAATATCCTTCCCTACTTGCTTGCAAACGCCATGCACATAAAAGTCACTAACTTGAGAAAATGTTTAATCTGGAGTTGTTATATCCTATGTCAAGCCTCAGAGACTCCCCAGAAATGAACCATATCACCCGAAAAGTCAACCTTTTGCATTTGCAGAGCTCTGCTATGACCAATTACTGCCCCAAACTCCAAAAAACAGATTTCTAAATCTGGAAACACTGAGTACTCTCAAAAGCTTTTCTGATAGTCAAAGAACTGTTAATAAACAGGTAATTTAGCCTTAGAAGACACTAAAAGCCCTAACGCATTTCCAAAATTACCTGCCATTGCAGTGGATTTTTATACAGCAGTACAGCAAGAGCTATTATAAAAGATGGCAGCAACTCCTCCAGGCAGTAGTTTTTCCTTGGATGTTCATCTTTTCCAGAGTCAGCATCTACATTTGTGCAAAAAAATAAGAGGAAAACCACCTCATTCATTTCTTTCATTTCCTCTCCAATCAAAAATCTCTCATACTGACAAAACTGAATGATCTTAGAAAATTATATCAAGATTTTCAAGCTTGACCTCTCAGCTACCCATCTTCAAAGACAGCACTGCCATTACAACACACATCCAACGCCCTTAGGATGCTTTTCATACTATTAGGAAGTCTAGTGTTCAATTTAAGCATTTTCTCATTTTTCCTCAATCAGCCAGAAGCAAAAAAAAGAAGTCCCTGAACAACACAGAGGAGAAAATTCTATCTATCTCAGCATGCAGGTTACCCACAGAAATCTTGAAACAAAAGTCAGAGGTGAATGCAGGTCTATAATTATTATTCACAAAGTGTTTCCAGTGGGCTTTGTACTCATCTCTGGGAGATGCAGTCTTCTGCATCAATGTTAGATGACATTGTAAACCCACTTGCAAATTCAGTAAGAGGGTTCTGAATTCAGCATTGCCTGGGGCAGTGATGTGGCTGGGAGTCATCTCCTGGTCGAAATTACCTTCTGGAATCCATGGCCCAGGACACAGCCTACACACGAAAATGTTGATACAGCTGTACAGCAACACTGTTTAGAGACTGAGCAGATTGGGGCTTGTTCCTTTGCTTGTTTATTACAGATGCACTGAGTCTTTCACTTCGATTCTGGAGTTAGTTCTTCCTTCAGCCACAGCTAATAGCCAGATGACAAACAGAGCAGTAAAGCTGCATGACTAGCCAAGCTTGTAAAGTCTTAATAAGAGATCCAGCACAATAGAGGTGTGTTGGAAAGCATTACACAAAAATGTCAGTGCTTGTTTGTCTTACAGGCAGGACACTTCACTTCTCCTACCTCAACACTGTTGGCCAGGTGTGGGGGCTCAGGAAAGGGAAATCTGGGAACATGAAACAGTTTAAGGTTGGGAGTGCTGATTTATTGGAAGGTAGGGAGGTCAAGGGACTGATCAGTCAAAAGGTTGGACTCAACGATCTTGGAGGTCTTTTCCAACCTAAATGATTCTGTGATCATATGCATTTACTGAAGAGTTTATGTGGCAGGACAATAAAACAATCTCTGTAAGTCATCCTCTCCTATTAAGATATGCAATTAGAACCACTGTGACCTGTGAAACCACATTTTCTGAGAGGTGAGAACATATAGAAAAGGAGTCACATGAGCCCAAGTGAATTAAACAGCAACAGAACGAACCTCTGTAAGCACGTGGTGCTCACAGCTTCATCAGGGAGGGAGACAGCTTGCCCTCCTGGGTATCTCTTCTCCAAAATTAGCGTCATTAGCACATTATTCACACCTTCTCTTTCCCAGCCCACAGGAAGTTTCCCTGAAGCGCTGCAGGCACAGTATTTGCCCTGCCACAGCTGAAAGAGCCAGGGGTAAACCTACCTTATCCATTACAACCAGGAGCTCAGGCACCCGAGGCACAACCTGCAGCTGCACATGGAGCTGCCTGCACTAGGTGTGTTCCTCAACAGACAGTACAACAACCTTTTATCATAACCATGCTCTAATCCAAATTCTAATAATCTACACATTAAAAACCGCATAACTATCTTTTAATGTGTATAAAGGTATACTTGAATTTTTTAAGACTTGTCTGCTCTAATATTTGCACCATAACTAGAAAGCATCTGCACTGTGAGATAGAGGCAATTACTTCAATCTACCCTCACTTTGTTTGCACACAGCACAAGGTTATCACTTCAGCAAAGGATTTTACAGCATAATACCCACACAGTGAATAACCTTCAGAGCTGGGGCAATAAACACCTCCCCCCCGCCCAGGTGGAATGGCTGTTACCCTTAGCATATTCATAATTTGGTCTAATATAAAACCTGAAGATTTCTTTTTGAAAATTTCTTTTTATTCAGCTTTTACAGAGAGTTATGATCTTTTTCTGTGCCCTGTATCTGCATCAGCAATCATTAAAGTAATATCTGCTTAACATGCCCTTGCTCATCAGCCTAACTTGAAACATGGTCTGGCTTGGCATCATGATGAGGATTTCCTCCCCGTGCTTTCTATCATGTTTAGGGATATAGGCTGCTGGACTGCATTTGCATACATTAGATAATCACAGGTGTCCCTACTGCTAAGATACCCATAAAACATTCTTTTAAGGACAGAATGAATCAACTCAACCTAAAAAGGAGTCTCAGCACTCTTAAATAATCATGGCATCTTCATTTTGAGGAAAACCAACTTTTAAGCATCCATGTCTTGAATATTATAAAGACTTCCAGGAGAAATGTTCTATAGCCCCAACAGAGCACATGTTTTATTTAAATTAGCATTACACCTAAGAGCTTTAGCACATATTTTCTTCTCAGGCAGTCCTTATTACTTTGTGACTGTTTCATATCACCCCTAAATAACACTGTCACCAGCTAAATGAATAGAGTGTGCTACACTTACAGATGATTTATACAGAACTAAAACATGTATCAGGAGGCATATTTCTACCCTGAGTCTCTCGATACAGTTCCCTTTGGCATCAAAGGAACTACGTGCCTTTCTGCCCTGAATTCCTAACAAGATAATTTACATATGCGCACATTCCTGAGCTCTGGCACGCACAACTTTGCCCAAAGTTGGAAACCTCCATCTGGGAAAGGCACATTTTGTGCCTCGCCCTGTTCTGAACATCCTCTCAAGCCACTGCTGGGATCACTTGGCACAGCTCCCCATAGGCACTCCTCTGCTTCTGGGAGGAGAGGGGAAAAACAGGCAGCAAGAATAACGTCCAGTCTTATTCAACGATCACGTGGCGTGTCTTGGAGCAGTTAGAGCTGGAGGGACTTATGGACCCACCTATATAAACAGAAGAATCCTTTCCCTAACTGATGAGGTCAAGCAGTGAAGAGCTGGATACTGAATATCTGTCATATCTATAAAGTGTTTCTGTCTTCCCACTTCTATAAAGTGCTTATGTCCTTTACAGGTTACCCTAAGGAAGTTCCAAGGACTTCTCCAAAAGTTTTTTCACATAGTAATGTACAAAGCAACAACCACAGAAGAAAATATATCACGTGAAGGAAATAGGACCCTGAAATAAAATAATTCTATCAGTAA